ATTTTTCTTCTAACTTTTGCTAGCTCACAAAATGAAGACACACAAATACACCTACAGAGACCTGACAGAGACCTGGAGATGGAAAGACTTTCCTGTGTTTATGACAATGATTTCCTGGAAGAAATGCAAAGATCGGCGAGATCTCAACACTACCAAAACAGTGAAACACTTCTCCAAAGCAAAAATGAAACAGAGCCACTTGACAAGGTTTTACCACAGAAAATACTCATTTCAAGTGTAAAGCATATGAAATCACACTACATGTATCAGATTGGAAGTTGATGTAGATCTTGACACATATAATCAAATTGCTCAAATCCGACTGTATAGTTATGTTATGCTATTGTTTTTTTTTAACTATTGTAATTTCTCAAACATCTAAAAGTAGTAAAATTATATATTTTACTTCCCACAAAATTTGTATTGCAACATGAGGGTTTATCTGGAGTAATGACCAGAGGGAATTTGCTGCTGTCTCACACAGTGGGTTCCATTGTTGTTGGAGCAATATAGTCTACTTGCAATGCATATTAGAGTGACATACTTTTGTACTCTCAGTTTTCTCTTAAGCAATTCTGTTAGACTTGTCACTGTTAGACTAGACTTTGCTTTGCCAAAGCATCAGTTATATTTTTGAACATATACATGTCTATCTTTATTTCCTGTTGCAATCTTAACGTGTTAGTGTTCCTAATGCTAACAAACAAGGAAATCAATATTTAAACAACAGAAAACTGAATTGCAAGCAGAAGAATACTTGTTCTTTACTCCACTGCAAAACTGACAAACATCTATAATCATGCCAAGGTGGGAATATATTCAAATAAGGATAATTAAAATATTGTGAAAAACAATTTCTTACACAATGCCCTCTTCTATGAGAGGTCTAAGTTTGAATATAAAATATATTGAATATATATATATATATTATATATATTTGAATATATAAAAGTTTATGATTATAGAACTTCAGACAAAGAGGGGCCAACATCAATTGCAGTTTTGCATTTGAGTTAATATTAACTCACTGGTAGCTGCTATAGCTTTTTGTAGTCCCCTGTGTGTTTGATGGAGCTTGACTATGACTCAGTGTTTCCAGTTTCTCACATTTTATATCAGCTTGTCTTGTCTTGAACCCACGAGTTAACCTGTAAGTCTTTCATGAAATACAGCCGGAGTCAGACTAGTTGTAGTTTTAATCACAGCATTTTGGAATCTTCTGCTGCTGCGTAAGTAAATTTATTTACCTAATGAAATGAAACATAGCAGAGCCTGCTTGCAGTTAAGAAATTAAGCAATTAAAATCATATCCAAAAGTTATTTTAACCATATTTTTAGAAAACGGAAACAGGATCACAATTACAACTGAGGTTACAACTGCATCTATTGCTCAAACGTCATCATGCTGATCTGAATTCTTTAAAATCAAATGTCTGTGACAGAGAA